TATTCTCTTTTCTCCTTCTCTTATTCTTACTCACCATGAAGGAAAATCATGGTTCTCTCTTATTCTCATCATACTCACCATGAAGGAAAATCATGGTTGTCTCTCTTATTCTCGTCATACACAGCATGAAGGAAAATCATGGTTCTCTCTCTTATTCTCGTCATACTCACCATGAAGGAAAATCATGGTTCTCTCTCTTATTCTCGTTATACTCTCACTAACCATGGAAGAACTCATGGTGCATGCATGTATGAGATGTACATGCAATTAATGCAAAAGAACTGTATGTTTCTTTCTTCTACTCTCTATTCTTACTAACTTAAACTCTCTCATTCTTTCTCATACTCTCTCTCTTTCTATCTCATTTTTTCTCAAGCTTTCTCATTCTCTCCATTATCTCATTCTCATTTCTCATAATTCATTTCTACTAACTCGCTCTTTGAATGTCGCGGCCCCATCTTATCGAAGGCACGGCCGGGACTTCTCCCGCTCTACGTGACTTCTACTGATTCTCTTTCTGTCTCTCTTTCTCATAACTCTTTTCTATTAATTTTCTGCTGTAAGTCACAGCCTCATCTTACCGGAGGCACGGCTGGGTACTCATCCCACTCTTCGTAACCCAACTCATTGTCTTTCTTTATTCCTTCTCATGTTTGCTCATTCTTCCTCACTTGCATGTCACGGCCTCATCTTACCGGAGGCACGGCTGAGTGGAGATCACAAAGCACCAACCCACTCTTCGTGACTTCTACTCATTCTCTGCCGATCGGACTCGGTCATGCATGGATTCGGAACCCTTGGCCACGTGAGTGTATTCTCTCTCTCTCTCTGAATGTCACGGCCCTATCTAATCGGAGGCACGGCTGGAACCTCATGTTCCACTCTTCGTGACGGTCACGGCCCCATCTAACCGGAAGCACGGCTGGAGATCACAAAGCACTCACTCTCGTGACTTTACTCATCACTCACGGGTTCCCTATCGCACAACCTACTCTATTCTCTTCTGTAGCACTTTTCTCTCTTTTATTCGCTAGTTCTCAATCTCTCTTTCTTTTTACTATTAGAGTGTTCTCATTCTCTTTACTCTTAGAGTTGCTATTCTCAACATTCTCTACTCTTTCTCACTCAAACTATTACTCATAGTGTAGCTTATACTTAAAATTCTTTACTCTTGCTCAAGCTAATACTCATCTCTTCCTTAAGCTAGTACTCATAGTATAGCTTAACTCTTAGAGTAGTCTATTCACAAAGTTCTCTACTCTTTCTTAAGCTACTTCTCAATGCACAATTAATGCACATGGATGGCTCATGCTCAATAATGCACTTAGGAAATGCCAATATGCAATGTTGCATCAAAGACAGCGTTTTGCGCAGGTCACACTAAAAAAGGCATAACTTGAGTTATACACATCGGATTGCTACGATTTTTGTCTTGTTTTAAAGCTTAGAGATAGATATATAACTTTTATGTTTTGGTCTGAACCCAGTTCAATCTGTACGATGACCAAAAATTACTTAGAAAGTCATGGCTGTGACAGGGCAGTTTGGTAATATGTTTTCACTTAGGCATTTCATCAAGCAACTCATGTGCATACAAAAACTCTACTATAATTACTACTCTACTTCATTCTCTAGCCATCCAAAATGGGAGAAAAATCCCTCATATAACCATAATCCCTGCCAAGAAAAGCACTTCCAAATAGGTTTACACAACATCTCTCAAACTTCATCTCAATTTCCATTTCTCAATACATATTAAAATACTTCTCATACATGAAGTGTATCCAACAACCACAAAACCAACATTCATCTCAACTCAATTTCTCAACAAGCATAATACATATTTATACAAGCATACATCTTTACTCAATCTCTAAATCTTTACTCAATCTCTAAATCTCTACTCAAAAGCTTATTCAAAACTCAACTTGGTTGGATTTACTTACCTAATACTTGAGTAGTCTTCACTAAAACTCTCTACTCTTGTTGGACCTTAGCTTTCCCTTATTTCCTAAGCATAAACTTAGTAAGAACTTAAACCTTACATAAATAAAACTCATATCTAGAGTAGAGATTCTTATCTCTTCTTGTTTAGGATCAATTCTTTGTCAAATCCCAACTCAAAACTCTCAAAAAATCCCTTAGAAGATTGAGTGAGGAATTGAGAGAAAATGGGAGATGAAGAGGCGGTGGAAATGGGTGAAATGGAGGGCTTTAGAGAACTAAACCCTTATTAGCTCATATAATATACACTCTTTCCCATTTTGCCCCTACTCTTTCTTGAAAATTCCACCTTTATCCTTTAATTCTTTACAAACTCACCCTCATTCTACACTATTCTCCATGAAATTTCCTTGCATTTTACTCCCCACTTTTCTTGCTAATTAGGGGTAGAATTATCATTTTTCCCTTAGGAAAGAATTCTCTAGAAACTCAAACAAAAACTCAGCCGGCCCTTCGTCACGGTGAAGGATTCTCTGTCGCCCCGGCAAAGAATTACAGAACCGACACCGCCATACACAAAGCCAACGTCGCCGCGGCGAAGACTGCAACTCCAAAATCCGCTAAGTCTTGATCAATTCCAGGGTAAACACTCAACCAAATCCAAAACATAAACTCAACCAAGGGCCAACCAAACAACATGAATAAGATACAACCTCATTTAGGGGCAATTCAGTAAACCTTGAGGCCATAACATAAATAATGGCTATGTATCTCAAATGGGGCATTACACCCCCAGTAGCGGTGAGGAAGAGACGGACAACCCCCTACAATAAGAAACAAAATCAATCAGATTTAAGCGACATTTTAAAGCAAGTGCATGTTCAAAAGCTTAATCCTTTAATCTTACCCGAGCTGATTGAATTTCAATCTCTATTTGCTCATAATCCGAATGAGTACACTTCTAGTCGTGCCACCGCAACATCCTAGGAAATGTCTGTTGCACAACCGAAGCCCTAATCCTCCCCCATGCCTTAGCCAGGATAGGGATGGCCTCATATATCCAAGCCTACATTGTAAAAAAACAGTCTATATCATAATTCAAACACATATATTAAAAAAAATATAATAAAAAACTATTAATATTTACCTGCATTGCCCATGGGAAGCCAAACAAATTGTACGTCGCTGGTCTATTCTTCTCGGCCCATTAGGAGTACTTTAACGTCAGGTCTTTTGCTTGCAGGGACTCTATGGTTCGTTTAAATGATACCCGTCCCCACGGATAAGCATTAAAGAAGTTCAAGTTGCTTACAAACTTCACCCAATCAATATCAACGGCTTTTGTTGAGTCACTAGCCATTAGGATTGAATGTAAGAACAATACCAAGCACAGTTTGAACGTCTCTGAATCGTTAAACTCACCATATTTTAACCTGTCCTCTAATTCCTATGCCTTAATAGACTTGTTCCCCGCCAAAACCTTGTTAGCCAACCTTTTGGCGCCCGTACTGTCTGTTATTCTTTTTTCCTCAACCTCACCTAGCAATTCCCCACATCTTAAGCCAGTCACCAACGCATATTCCATCATCCCGAAACGTAATGGCTTTCCATCCACCATGAACCACATTTCGTGCTTTTTGTTGCTTTTTATTGAGTACAGCAACATGTAATGCACTCTCGACCCCCAGAATGTCTTTTTCCATTTTGTGTCCATATCCCAAAAATGACTGAAACAAGTCTCTTTGAATCTCCTTTCACCATTCCTCACTGTCCCTAAAATTCCCGTTATTCTCGTTAAAACATCCCAACTTGACCTCACTATCACCCTCACAGAGAAGTACAGTACCGTATCGCTTACAACCTCCAATCCGTACTCTCTATAGTTTACGTTCCAGAAAGTCTGCACAATCGATATAAACAAAATATCAGCAAAAAAATTAAACCAAATCAAATATAAACAAAATACGCTCCGGAAGAATCGCTTAAGCGATGGGCAGATGATTCTGCCTCATACAAGATCTCTTAAGCGATCTGAAATCACTTAAGCGATACAAAGGATCGCTTAAGAGATTATAGATCTGGGTAGATTTGGTTCTGCCTCGGAAGAGATCTCTTAAGCGATCTTAAATCGCTTAAGCGACCAAGAGTAAAAGCAATTTCATTGCTTTTACTCTTGGTCGCTTAAACGATAACAGATCACTTAAGAGATCTTGTACGAGGCAGAGTCAACATCCGCCAGATCTAAGATCGCTTAAGCGATCGTTTATATCGTTTAAGCGATTCATCGCTTTTACTCTTAAGTAATCCAAAATAGCTTAAGCGACCAAGAGTAAAAGCCATCAATCGCTTAAGCGATACAAAAGATCGCTTAAGCGATCTTAGGTCTCGACAAGTACAAATACCTTTTCTTCGGCGGCCTCCTCCTCCTCCTCCTCTGAACTCTCTTCGGACTCCTCTTCCTGGCCTGAATTTTGTCCGACCTCCTCTTCCTCTTCAGAACCGTTTTGCTCATGTTCTCTCTCTTGTTGTGTCGCCGTCGTCTCCATTGCTGGAACACCTTCACCGATCGAAGGATCCACTGGAGCAGCCATTGAACTGCTTGCGTAGCCAGACTCTACGACTCAAAGAGGCGTTGGGTTTTCCTGCTCATTGTGAATGTCAGCCATAGTTTTAAGAAAGGAAGAAGCTTTAGAATTGAATTTGAGTGTGAAAATTTGCCGGAATATGGATTGTTATCGCCAGAAATTGCACAGATGCGTTTAGGGATTGAAGATATCGATTTTTGCCTTAATTGGTTTTGATTAAGCGATTTGAATGGGTGGGGCTCTTTTTCAAATTTCAAATTTTAAAAGCTTTTATTAATTATGATTATGTCCTTATATGTTTTAATCTTTTCATTTTAACTCATTTTACATGTGTAATGGATCGTAACTGAGCCACCTTCTCTAAATTAAAAAAAAATTAAAAACAGTTTCAAGCCTTTTTTCTAAATCCGATGGCCGGTCAGCTAAATTTTCTCCACGTGAACGCATAAATGCTCGCCGAGAAGCAACGGCAGCATAAACCCAGAACTGAAATTCGTAATCATGTCCGAGTTTCTGATCGCAAATGGACCCTGAAACACCACAAAATCTCTCCAATAACTTAAAGAAACTAGCCGGAAACTACCTGTTGAAATCGAAGCTTGGGGAAAGTCCTTTCTCCACAGTGTGGAAGGCGGAACACGTGTCATCGGGAGATGTAGTTGCCGTGAAGCAAGTTTACCTCCACAAACTTAACAAACACCTGAGGAGTTGCTTGGACTGTGAGCTTAATTTTCTATCTTCTGTGAATCACCCCAACATAATTCGCCTCTTTCACGTGTTCCAGGTGGGGTGTAAATGTAAAATTTTGATCTTTGGTTCCTTGCTTAGTTGTTTTATTTGGAAATTTTTAGTGTTTTGAGGAGTACCTGTTCTGTGTTTTTTGAATTGGGTCTGTAGATTGTTGGTTTTAGTTGTTTAATTTTGAGTTTTAGGCGGTTTAGGGATTAACCCGTTTGTGTTTTTTGAATTAGAAGATGCGTTGGTTGTGATTTTCTATTTTTATCGGGTTGTTTATAGGGAATTTCCACTTTGTCAACTGAATGATGTATTGAAATCAAGAGTGCTTCTTTAGTGAGAAAGTGAAGGAAAATAGATAGAGAATGCGAGTAAGAGAAAACCCAATTTAGGGAGACTAGGTATAATTAAGAGAGTTCTAAGAATTTGGTGAGATTTTTGTGTATACGAAAATGCAGGACAAATGCTTTTATGTAATGTCAGCTTAGGTGATTTCCAGACTTTTAATGTGACTTACTTTTAATACCTAAAGACCACTCAAAACAATTTCTTATACATTTTATTGCTATTATCTTATTAATCATTTCTGCAGTCTTATCATAGTATTCATTGTCTTTGCTCTCAGGCTGAAGATTGTATATTTCTTGTTATTGAGTTTTGTGCTGGAGGAAATCTTGCTTCTTATATTCGGCAGCATGGGAAAGTTCCGGAGCTGACTGCCAGAAAATTCATGCAGCAGCTTGGTAGCTCATCATGTGCCTTTTCGTCAGTAGTGGGGGTTTCTGTTATGCTATTGGTTTCTGATTTCAAGCAATATATAAAAAACTTCATTGAATTCTCTTTTACAGGAGCTGGTTTGGAAATTTTACACACTCACCACATTATTCACAGGGACTTGAAACCAGAGGTATGGATATTATTAAACATGCACATGAAGAAATTCTGGATAGTTGTTATCTCTTGAATTCTTCATACCTTTTGGTAATGAGTGTATGGCTAAATGCTTATGAGACTAATCCTGTTGCTTTGATGGAGCAGAGCATTCTACTATCTGATGTGTTTTTGAGGCTGAAAGCCTTATGAATTGACTAATCCTGTTTCTTTGGTGGGGCAGAACATTCTACTATCTGATGTAGAGGGCGTTGTGGTGCTCAAGATAGCCGATTTTGGTCTTTCAAGGTAAATTGTAGTAGAAGGAAGCAATTTAAGGGGTGAGGATAGGTCTTAGGTCTGTCAATTTTGAGCTGACTTAGGTAGCAGGAAACTGTAATTGGCTTTATGCAATTTCATTTTATTTTTTAGATACAAAGTTGATGTTGAAATTAATTTTGTTTAAAAACAGTCAAAACTTAAATTGAATTTTTTTTTCATATAATGAACAGTATTCTCCGTCCGGGCAAGTGTGCTGAGAAAGTATGTGGAACCCTGTTATACATGGCTCCTGAAGTTCTGCAATTTCAGAGATATGATGAAAAGGTACTACTTTCTCCCTTCAAAATAATTGTTGATATTAAATGTCTTGTTAATGTATTAAAATTCCAAACCTATATATAGGTAGACATGTGGAGTGTTGGTGCAATTCTTTTTGAGCTTCTTAATGGTTACCCACCTTTTTGTGGTAGGAACAATGTCCAGGTAGCATATTTGCCTGAAGAAGAGTCCTTAATAACTATTACAGTGATCTAGCTTCCACTCTGTTAAAAAGTTTTCTTCTTTCAGTTGCTGCAGAACATCAAGTCATCTACACATCTTCCATTCTTGCAGCTTATTCTACCCTGGTTGCATCCAGACTGCCTTGATATGTGTTTAAAACTACTTTCTACAAATCCAGGTTTTACTTCTGGATATCAACTTCTTATATTACTTGAATCCTATCCCAACAGTTTCTCTCCATTCACTCTTTGGTTATTGCAGTCATCCCCTTACTGGTGGTTTCTTCATTTGTTGCAGTGGATCGTTTGTCCTTCAGTGAATTCTATCAGCATAGATTCCTGAGAAGAAAAGAGTGGGAAACTAACACCAACTTTTGATATTCCATGCGCAATGCTTCCCTTGTATATTAAATCAAGCATCATCCATTCCATCTATCCAAAGTCATGATGATTTCTTTGATGTCTTGTCCACTTCTCTGATAATGCTAGCACTCTAATATTACACAGTAAATTTGCGACATTGACATTAATCCAGGTTTTTGTTGGTGTTCCTTTCGGGAAATAGTCATAATTTTCTTTTGTCTTCTACTGTTACACAATCTAGGTATCTGAAGTGGAATTCAGTTACTAATTCCTGATCGATGTAGCATATTAAGAAACGAGGTTATAAACATGTAATGGCTTCTAATTGTATCTTCGATATCACCATTTAAAGAAGCAATTGAGCATTGCTGCTATTTTGAGATCTTGGCTTTGTAAGAGATTACAGGCTACTTATTAGATCTTGTATCATTACATTGTACAAGTAATCTATTCAATTAATTTATAAAATTTCTCTGAGATGATTTCACCTTTCAGTTTTGCTTTTGTTGAACACTGATAGTTCTCAATTCTGTTTATATATTGATCTGAGTTTATAGCTGAAAGTCGTTTCTTCCATCAAGTTTGATTGTGTTGTTGGCATGTACTCATGTAAGAATAAGTTTTAATTTTTTGCTACACATATAGTGGAACATATAAACATTGTAAAAGTTTTAGGGATATATGTCTTTTTAATATATTTATTTTATAATTTTTACTTACATGAAGATTATACTTATTAATAATTTGCATTAAATAATTATTTTTCGTAAAATATTATTGAGACATTCAACAAGCTTTTATGTGTGAAAATAAAAATAAAGCCGAAAGATTTCTTCTATACCCCTGGTACTGTAGCAGGATCCTGAGGTAACATTATCTGGGTACTGTAAACTTAGATCCATATGGACCCGACCCGTTGCCATCACTAAGTAGGAGCTTTCTTTTTGTTTAAAAAAAGTAGAAATTTTATGTCCATTTAGGTCTTGAGAGTCGATTGTCATAGACGAACATGCAAGTCCAAATTCTGCCCAACTCTGGACAAAGGACAAACATTTTTTAAACTAATATATTCTTCTTAGAAATTTCTTAGTGTTTTCTTCATTATTTAATACCTGCTCTTCTTAATAGTATTCTTCTTAAAAGTTTCTTATGTCAAAATATTTCATATGAACTTTGGAAGCATTACCATGTCCACTCTTTGACCCTTTTGTTTAGACTTCTCTGGAGTTTTGTGTTGCCTCAGAGTGAACCAAATAAAAAATTGATGTGCGAATTGATTAAGTTGCAAGTTGGTTTTCTCAACATCCTCCTTGTATGTTGTGACAAAAATATAATTTCTTGAGCAATCTAATACGTAGAAATTGTTTAATTTCTATTGCTATATGTTTGAAAATTAGTTTCTACATGACTAGTCTCATTAATGAAAGATTTCTTTCCCTTTCCCTTGTAATTATTATTATCATTAAAGTATGATTAGGGTGAGTTTAATCTTCTTTTCAATAAGAAAATGAGTTACCTGACCGGGTCATTTTCAACTTACAGCAAAAGTTTGCTGCCAATTCAAGTCTTGGACAAAATGGGGTAACCCTAACTCAACCGCAACTTTGGTATTGAGTTTAGAACTAAGTTTTATTCTACTTGTAGTTTAATTCACTAAATGGTGGGTCAACAAGTCAACTTTCGTGGGTTGTAGAGTTTCTCCCTTGTCTAGTTGTGAATTTAAAGAATTACTTGGTTCTTATTTATGGTCTTCTTTGAAGAATGAGTTAGTAAAATTGCAAAGTTGTTCTTCAAGGTTCTCTAATGGGTTCTGTATTAGTGATGTGCTTATTACTCTTTCTACTTTTTCTCTATACACAAGCACAACTAGAAAAAATAACCCTAGGATCTTCATTATCCCCAAAGACTAACCACAGTTCCTGGCACTCGCCATCAGGTCATTTTGCATTTGGTTTCTATCAACAAGGCAATGGATTTGCAGTTGGAATTTGGCTGGCTGGTAAACCTGACATCACTGTTGTGTGGACTGCTAATAGAGATGACCCACCAGTCCCCTTAAATTCCACTATTGACTTCACCAAATATGGTCTTCTTCTTCGAACAGGCCAAGGTGATAAGAAAGCCATTGTAATATTGCCTGAGCAGCCTGCTGAGGCTTCATTGCTGGATTCTGGTAACTTTGTTATCCATGGCAACAAACCTCAGGTCATCTGGGAAAGCTTTGAAAACCCAACTGATACCGTATTAGGTGGTCAGAGTATACACTCTCAATTGATGGCAAGCACATCAACATCTGATTGCTCAAGCGGAAGATTTTATCTCGATGTAAATAATAATGGAATAGGGGCTTTCCCAGTAAATCATACCGGTATTCCGGAGGAATGTTACTGGAATGTGCCAATTGTGAGTACCAGATATCCCTTGCGGTTAAATCTCAGTCTGAGGCACTTTACAGTTAACTAAAGGAAATAAGACTTTGCAAGCTATAGCTAATAGCTCTTATTCTGCAACAAGCAAGACTGTGATTTACCGTGCAACACTTGATGATNTTTCTTAGAAATTTCTTAGTGTTTTCTTCATTATTTAATACCTGTTCTTCTTAATAGTATTCTTCTTAGAAATTTCTTATGTTAAAGTATTTCATATGAACTTTGGAAGCATTACCATGTCCACTCTTTGACCCTTTTGTTTAGACTTCTCTGGAGTTTTGTGTTGCCTCAGAGTGAACCAAGTGAAAAATTGATGTGCGTATTGATTAAGTTGCAAGTTGGTTTCTCAACATCCTCCTTGTATGTTGTGAGAAAAATATAATTTCTTGAGCAATCTAATGCGTAGAAATTGTTTAATTTCTATTGCTATATGTTTGAAAATTAGTTTCTATATGACTAGTCTCATTAATGAAAGATTTCTTTCCCTTTCACTTGTAATTATTATTATTAAAGTGTGATTAGGCTGGTTGATAAACCAAATATCACTGTTGTGTGGACTGCAAATCGAGATGACCCGCCAGTCCCCTTGAATTCTACTATTAAGTTCACCAAAGATGGTCTTCTTCTTCGAACAGCCCAAGGTGATGAGAAAGCCATTGTTAAATTGTTCGAGCAGCCTGCTTCAGCTTCTATGTTAGATTCTGGTAACTTTATCATCTATGGCTATGAGTCTCAGATCATATGGCAAAGCTTTGATAAGGCAACTAACACCGTATTAGGTGGTCAGAGCATATACCCTCTACTGATGGCAAGCAGATCAACATCTGACCACTCCAGTGGACAATTTTATCTCAATGTAAATGATAATGGATTGGCTGCTGACCCAGTAAATCATACTGGTGATCTACCAGAGGAATGTTACTGGAATGTGCCAATAGTGAGTACCGGATATCCCTTGCAGTTAAATCTCAGTCTCAGTGGCACTTTACAGTTAACTGAAGGAAATAAGACTTTGCAAGCTATAGCTAATAGCTCTTATTCTGCAACAAGCAAGACTGTGATTTACCGTGCAACACTTGATGCTGATGGATTTTAAGGCTATACTCGCATCTCTTTGACATCAATGGCAACTCTAATGCGACCATTGAGTGGTTTGCGTTAATAAACCAATGTGAGGTGAAGGGTTTCTGTGGGTTTAATAGTTTTTGTTCTAGCGACAACAATAAAACAGATTGTTACTGTTTTCCTGGTTTTGATTTCATTGATCCTCAGGAGAAGTTTCAGGGCTGCAACAGGAACTTCACTGATGAAGAAGGTTGCCAAAGGAGGGAGCCAGCACTGGTTTACAACATTACTAATTTGGAGAAGACAAAGTTGGGAGGCTTGGCATATGAGAAACAGCCGATGCTTAAGGAGGATTGCAGTGAGTCCTGCTTAAATGACTGTCACTGTGGAGGTGCTTTGTATTTGGATGGAACTTGCAACAAATTTAAACTGCCACTAATGTTCGGGATGAAAGATGAAAATGAGTCACATACGGTCTTTATAAAGTGGAATTCGGGCAACCCTAACGTCAAAATTCCACCGTTTCTTCACAAAAGAGTTGATGTGTCTGAAAACAAGAAAAACCTAATTATAACACTTGCAGTGAGTTTAGGGTTTATCATGTTTTTGTGTTTCCTTGTCGCAATTTCTAGTTTCCTTGTATACAAACTTCAAGTCAACAGATACAAAAAGCTTCCTGGAAATTCAAGTTTAGGCCTAACACAAGAATTCACTTTACAATCATTTTCTTATAGTGAGCTTGAGCAAGCCACGAATGGATTTAAGGAAGAGTTGGGGAGGATGGTTTGGGGCAATCTACAAAGGGTCTATCTATGAGGGTAGCAAGATGATTGCTGTAAAGAGATTAGAAAATCCTATAGAAGAAGCTAAGAGGAAGTTCCAAGCAGAGATGGTAGCAGTTTGCCAAACCTATCACAGGAACTTAGTTCGTTTGCTCAGTTTTTGCTTGGAGAGTTCCAGGAAGCTTCTTGTTTATGAATACATGAGCAAGGGTCCTCTTGCAGATCTTTTGTCCAATGTTGAAAGACACCCCCCATGGAAAGAAAGAATCAGAATTGCTCTAGATGTGTCAAGAGGGATTCATTATCTTCATGAAGAGGGTGAGGTCCAAATCATTCACTGTGACATTAAGCCCAGAAACATACTTATTGATGATTCTGGGACTGCTAAGATCTCATATTTGGGCTTTGCCAAGCTTTTAATGCCAAATCAAACTGTAACGGATTCTGTGTTCAAAGGTTGTAGAGGTTTTATGGCACCTGAAGCAAAAAAACATGGCTCAATAACGGTGAAGTCAGACGTTTATAGCTTCGGAGTTGTACTGTTAGAGATCATATGTTGCAGAAGCAACATGGAAGTGAATGTTTCAACGGCAGATGAAGTTCTTCTTCCTACTTGGGTCTATAATTGCTTTCTTTCCTGGGAGTTGAACAGGCTTGTAGCTATGGAAGAAGTGCACATGAAAACCCTGGAACGGATGGTGAAGGTGGGACTATTGTGTATTCAAGATGAGCCAAATTTGCGTCCTTCTATGAAAAATGTTATCCTGATGTTAAAAGGCACCATGGATATACCAGTCCCTCCATGTCCAAGTCCTCTTGTTAATACTTAATTCCCGTCTTTTATAAAGAGACGTGTTACTTATCATGTCAAAGCATGTTCTCTCCTTATATGTTGTTCCTAGGTTCTCCATGAGATCATATATATTTTGTTTTGTGTTTACCATCTGGAGTTGAGTATATTTTGTTGGCAAAATGAAATGAATGAAGTTTTTTATCATATATATTTGAAGTACTAGTTCTGGTTTGTGAAGTAAGAAGCAGCAAGAACTAACATCCGATAAGAGTTCCCTCCAAAGAGTTTCCTGGCCCAATTCTCATAATCCAATTTGACTCTGTTTTTCTTAGTCCTAACAATTAGACCAAACTGTAAACTATTAACAAAACAAAAGTGGTACAAACAAGTTACATTAGCTATTTGCTTTTCCC